GATCCGATCATCATTAGATCAAAAGTTATTCAGGGTTGGTCTGTTTCCCCCCCCCCTTTATTTGATAGTTAATATTTCTTTCTCTTCATAATAAATTCTAATTATTTATTAAAAAAAATTAAAATCAATAAAATATTAAAAAAAATGTTTAAATATATTCAATTTTGATGGGTGTAAATGTATCTAAATATTATGTCATTAAAACCAAAGCACAATTTCATATCTATTTTCAAAGCTTGGCTTGAATATTAAGTTTGAATTTTTTTATATAAACTGAAAGACTGCTTGGATAGAACTAACAAAAATTAGGTACAATACTTTTTTTTGCTGGGATAGGTATTGAGTGGCAAGGGGCCTTTGTGTTTTCCTTCTAGAGAAATTTCTTTTTCTCAGAAATGAAAAGATTTTTTTTTTTTTAGAAACCAGAAATGGCATTGCTCAGATAATGGTCTATGGATCGTCGAATGGTTTTCCTGGAAATACTTCAAAGGGAAGGAATCTTGTTCATGTTTACAAAATCTGCAAATGCAAATAATGCATAGTATTCTTTCTTAGTAGTCAGACTAGATCATTGATGAAACAAATGTCAACTACAACAGGCTGAAATAACATATACAATCAACTGAATGCCTTTGATCTCATATTACTACACCCCTCTCTGCTCAGCGTTATTGCTCTTCTGAGCAAAGAAAGAATTCTCAGAAATAATCCCTCTTTTCTTTCGATTTCCAGGAAAGAGGGATCTAAACTTAAGACTACTTAGAAACTTAAGAGGGAACTAAACTTAGAATCAACATTTTCTTTTTAACTTTAGAAAAAAGCTAAGAAAGAGTAGATATTAAATCATCATAATTTTGAAAAATTATGTCTCCCTTGCTTGGGGTCCCCTTGACCATCAGGGCCTAGGGGCTACACCCTGACTGATCCGTCGTAGTTACGGCCCTGATCGAAACATATTAAGCTAAATCAATTATGACCGAAATAGTTTTTCTAGACAACGACGCCATCTGTTGGCAAATTTAATAGTTAATTTCGAAACTTGGAGGGGAAGATATTCTTTCTTCCTAAGAAGAAAACGGCAAATCATAAATCGTTATCTTTTATTGTGATCTTTTATTCTTCACTTAATTGCTTTTTCAAATCAGAGCGGATTTTTAGGACAGCCGATATAATATATTTTAAAAAAAGTAATGTAATTTTTTTGCGTAAGATTTCAATCTTACACAAAAAATTGAATTGAAATCGTAATAAAAAACTAACTGCTTTAAGTTGCTCTTAATATAATATTTGGTTTTGATGTTTCAATTAATAGTTACCAAGATATTCCTAGGTTATTTAAGTATTCAATATCTCAACAAATATTAACAACATCTGGTTAGGGTATTAAAAGAAATCCGTAATAACATTTTCATGCACTCTTCACATTTTTGAAATAATTGAGAATATATTCGCATTGATGAAGAAGTTAAAAAACAGAAAGTAGAAGACGAGTCACTCCGTTATCAAGTTTCATTTTCTATGTAATGTAGTTTACAGATATTTATAAATACTTATCTTCAAAATTACTTTTTCCTTCCATCAGAACTATTCTACGATTATTCAGTAACGGTATATTTCTTTGACGACTTTGATGAGCTTTTGATTACCAGGGATACGAAGAAGTGTGAAAATAAGTTGAACAGTCATCAGAACCCCAAAGATACCGATATGAGAATTTTTATGATAATTATTTCCGCATTTTCTCCTGTGCTTCTCTTAAAGACGAAATTTTTTTTTCTCTTTGCTTTTCTACGAAAAGTTCTACACTTTTTTCCCCCTAAAGAATGCGATTGAGAATGGAAATTTTAATTTACTAAAAGTGCGTTTAAAAATTTTTGTTTCGTATGTTCTGGTGTCAAATTGTCATGAAAATTAAAACAGTGGCAATGTAATACTTGTTAAGCTTGATTAATAATTTAGAAAAAGACATTGATAGAAAACATTGAAAAATGCGTATTAAAATAAACATTTTGGTTGAGATAGTTTGAGTAAATGTATTGGATTTTTGTTAAATTAGTTTATAAACTGCAGCTGCTGAAAAATCTGCTTAAGTATAAATATCGCTGTATTATGTGATATTTTTAAAACGAATATGAAAACAGGAAATTTAAAGAAAGGAAATATATGATCCCAAAAATGACTTATCTACAGAATTATTTGCGCCTCTGTTTTAAATACATATTCAAAGTACTTTTTACTACTAAGTATTACATTTTAAAGGAAATAAGCTATATCACATTTCAAGTTCACTATAAGGCTAATTACTTTCTGACCAGAAATTTATTTGTCCAAATAATTTGCACTATGTAAAAAATTTGAAAGCAAGGGCCTATTTTTACTTGTATATCATACAAGCGTGAAGTTTTGGCATATTAAACATTAGAACTTAAGAATTTGTTTGAGCTATACTAGTTTTAAATAGTAAATTGGTTTCTAAAATTTTCTCACTTTAATACTTCAAATGAAGAGAATGATCCAGAGGTGCTGGTTAAAAGATAATTTAGAGCACCTTTACAAATACACAGACACTATGATTTCTGGAAGCTCTATATGCAAACATGGAATTAATGAGTTTCGCTTACGTTTAGGACACGCATGAGTGAATATGCAGTTAATATATATAGTATATTATAGTACTATATAATAGGAATAATTATTATATAGTTTATTGAAGTGTAGAGAACGATTTACAGGACCGGAGGCACTGGACTAAAGATATTTTCAGAGTTTCGTTATTCATACACTGACACTGCAATTTCCGGATGCTCTATAAACGCAAACATGAACAAAAGAAATTTTCTATGTTCTTCCCACACATAATTTACGGCACAGTATATTTAAAAAGTTATATAATACCGATAATTGTTATATAGTAAACTCTATATTGGGAGAATAATTCACTGATCCCGAGGCACTGGCCCAAAGATATTTTTTGAGATCTTCTATGCATACACCGTCAATGCAATTTTTGGAAGCTCTATGCACAAGCATGAACACAATAAATTCCGTATGCTCTTTACACATGCATATAATTATGGAGTTGATCTTAATTAATATTTTTTTCTCCGCAAGCGGAAGGTAATTATAGAGGAATTACAGGTTTCGTAGTTTAAGTCAGATTTAAGCTTTAATTTGGTCAATTGGTTTTCGAATCTGATTTAAACATTTTAAAGTTTAGTTACGGTGTTTCTCATATTTTATTGCTGATGCTGGGTAATAAAACAAAAATGAGATTGTTTCTGAAAATGTCGGTATGCCTTTTTAAATATAAGCTCATCATATTAATTATATTGGTATTAGTTAAATAAGAAGTTTCACTACATTATTTTATTATAATTATTGCCTAAAACCAAGATCTTCCGATTGAGAATCTTACAATAAATGTGCATCATGGGTTCAATAACGTTATATTTGATTCTGTTTAGGAGAAATAAACTAGAGGCTTATAATTATTTTAATAAAAATAAATTACAATACACTTAACAAAAGAAAAACTTTTATGTCATTTAATTAATAGTTTATATAAAAACTATTATATAAATATATTTTATCTAACAATAATAGTTCAAAGTATTGTTAGATAAAATATATTCGTATAGTAGTTTTTATACAATGTTTTATAAAGTAACACATCTTTATCTTTAGACTTGTTTTAATAAAGTACAGTACAGCTTAAAACAAAGCTTGAATGCTCTTATCTGCGATCAAAAGCCGATCCACTCTTAAGATTAGCTCAATCATGAAATCTTCTATCTGATGAACGTTAGCAAAGAGAATAAGAGGCATTATTTTCTTTCAGTCCAATAAATATCGATTATACTTAAAAAAAGAAAAGGAAAATTTTTTCGTGAAGCACGTCTTACCTATAACGACCCTCATTCTGTCTCTGCTTCAAGACTTTTCAAAGAAGTTTTTATTTTGTTTATATATTTAGAAGCATATCTTTCGATTTTTAGTCTTAAAAAGAATTTTTTTTCCTCATGTTTACTCTCGAAGTGTATATTTATGAGCATAAAATGTATTCAAATAATTTTATTTTTAAAAGTTTTGAAAATTATTCCGAGAAAAAAGTATGGTAAACACTACCATTATATGGTAAAGTTTACCATGTTTTTAGCTCTATGGGAACACCAAAAAGCTCGGCAAATTTAACCACAGCACTTTGGTAAACTAACAATAAAATATGTTTTTATAATAAGTGATAAAGTTTGGTAAATGTTTTCAAATTTGGTAATTATATCATTATACCTTAAAGCATTGCATAAAAACCATTCATTTAGTTAAATTTAATTTACTTTTAAGTCATGCATTTTTTAATAAATGTGTAGTAATAAGAACTGTACTTTTGAAAACCTGGATTTTTGTTGATCCGTCATCATACGAATGGAAAAATTACCAAATGAATGGTTTAAACAACGTAAATTTTAGTTTTATTAACCGAAAATATATTTTTTTACCAGTATTGTCATTATCAGGCATGAGGGAAATGTGACCAGAATTTCTTTCTCCAAGTAGGATCTATTCAAAGTTCTAACTATCGTAATATTTTACACATTTAAAAATACCGAGAAATTGGTAATTTTTCTCATCAATTTCTTGTTTTTATTTTTATTTTTCAAGCATTAGGGAAATTATATCTATTTATTATTCATTTGAGTTATAGGAAGTTGGAATTTTTTTAAAAGTTATTTTGAACTAAATTTCGCTATGCTTCAAAATACTTCTAGCAATATAAGAAAATGAAATAATTGACTGATTTTAACAATTATAAAATTTTTTTGAATGTAATTTTATTTTAAAACGTAGATTTTTCTGTTAAGGCTGAAGAAGCACAGCTTCCATATGGATTTGTTTCCTTCCCTAACAAATAACTCATGACACATGAATTACTCCCGTTTTTACATAATATCAGGTGATTGGGTCGGCTGTTCAATGACGGTAATAAAATAAAATAAAATAATGTCAAGTCAAAATGCATAAAATGAAAATACCAGAAAACATTTAGTAATAGACTATTAAATTGGATTTAAATGGAGGCAAGAATGGCCATTTAACAAGGTAAGTCAAATTTTAAGAAATATTTTATTATGTTATATTTTATAATTTTAATAAATATTTTAATAATAATGTAATATTTAATAATTTTAATAAATATATTATTTCAAAAATATTTCTTTCTTAATTTTACAAATTTCTTTGTTTTTTTTTTAAATATTTAATTTGTCTAAAATTGAAAGAAATTATGAAAATGTAACAAAAAGAAGTTAAAAAAATATACTTAAAAAATATTTACTTGTTTCATTTAGTTTAATTGTACTTACAATTTTATTGTATTTTCTTACAATCTTATTCTGTTTTTATATGAAAGGTAATTATTTGAAAATGATGAAAGCTACATAAAAACAAAAACTCTGGTGTGAAAATATAAAAAAAGGTCCATATTGGCATCTGAACATTTATTACCATAAACAAAATTAAAAGAATTGAATATATGAAAATCGTATTTATAAACAGTGTAAAAAAGCATATTTTATCTGAAATTCCCCCCCCCCAAGAAAAAAAGCATTATTAGAATGGTACCGAAAAAGGGATGATGTGTATGATAGACTTGAAAGCCAAGAACATCAAATAGACTTTTTAAAAAAACGCTACAATCAATTTTGACAAATGATTTTTTTAGAAGACAAAGAATTAGAGACGCTCTTTTTAAAGAATTAAAGATTCTTTTTTAAAGAATTAAAGATCCTTTTTATTTTAAAATTATATTATTGATCATTTGTCTTATATTCACAAATTTGTCACATTTGCTTCTTTTTTAGTATACAAATATTTTTCAAACCAGTTGGTGTTGTGAAATAGTGTTATTAATAATAGTGTAAAAATTCGAGCAAAATTAAGATAAAAAATACTAGCAGCCTGAGGCACCCATAATATTCACTTTACCCTAATCGTATACCGTAATTTTACAGAAATATTTATTTAATTAAAGTAATTCAGTAATTTCACAGTAAAAATTAGTATTAAAAATTAAGGTATATCAGATTTTTTGTCCCTTAAAATTAAGGTCAAAAAATTTCAGGTGATACTGCCACTCAGAGTACCAGTACATTTTTCCGAAATTTACAGTGCAGTTTTGTTGAAATTTATCATTTTTAATTAAAGTTTGTCATTAATACAATTAACACTCATTGAATAAATAGTAATATCAATATCACAAAATCACTTTTTTCATAATCGTAATTTAACAGAAACTTTCTAAATTGCAATACTCTTATGCAGAATTAAGAAAGAATTTAATTTTTAAACATCATTTTCATTTCGTTTCTCTAATAATAAATCTAATAAATCTTTCAATTTAAAACTTCACCGAACACACTTTTAGTGATTTAAAAAAAAATAATTATATAGAAATGAAAGAAACCGTAAGAATCTGGTATTCACTGGCAGAAATGAATGAGGAAGAATTTAATTATTGGAAATCAATTTAATTTAGTTCGTTTGAAAATAATAAAAGCTATACAATCATTGAAAAACAGTAATCCTATAAAAAATTATTTTTTTTTTAATATAATTTTACAACATACAGTAAAAAAGAAAAAATTAATTAATAAGGATGAGCTTTAATAAATTTCAAATACGTTTAAATTCAAGCGTGGATTTCAAATACGGTAACTTTAAAAAATCAGTATATTTCTGTTATTTCTTTTGCAAAGTGACTTTTAATATATTTTTTTTTTAAAAAATTGGTTTTTAACTAAAATTTCAATAACTATTTTGCTAATCTTTCTGATATAAGTGGAAATGCTTGAATAGGAATGCGATGATTTTATCGAAATGGGATATAATATTTACTATATTATGTTTAAAATTATACATAAAAAGCAAAGTTTCTTATGTCGTTCCAGTTGACTTCAACCTTTAAAAATGCAAAAAAATACTTTATCATTTTTAATCTGGAGGAAAAAACGATGAAATAGTCGAGAACAAAAATAACGATCGCTTGCATCACGAATAAAATTCTCTTCAGCGTTCAAAAATTGTTCTCATTTTTTTTTTGTAAAAAAAGTTGTGCACCGACTCTAAAAAGAGCAAAATATTCTTAAGCTCGTTGAAATGTATGGTTTATGTAGAAAAATAGGCAGAAAAAGGTAAAGAATAAAGAAAATAATCGAAAAAAAGCAGCAGAAAGCGCTCGTAAAAACATTTATAGATATGAAAAATGAGTCAAATATTTTTGAAGAAGCCGAACTCTTTGTATTTTGAGAGATATTTAGTTATTTTTTAAGTTTTATGTCTCAAAAATGCTATAAAACTCAATCGTTGCACTGTTTGCAAAGTATCTTACCGTTTGGGAAATTATCGCATCATATTTTCCCTCAAACTTCACAACCTTCATTTTTCAGAACAAAAGAATGGTTGAAAATCATAAACGACCAAGAGTGATAAAAGCAAATATAAGTCAACTTATCTTTGAAATAATGTGTAGTGCCATTTCGATGCAAGGTGGTATTTCAATGTACAGCGTCTAATGATCACCAGCAGCACTATTTCGTTGATCATAAATAAATAGAGCAATTAAATCTACCTTAAAGATATATATTTTAATTTGATCATGTGAAAATTTTAATTTGAACTCACATGATCAATAAAAAGGAAATTACTATAAACAGAGCAAGAATATTTAATACCCATTCATTGTTATCTCTTAAATGAGACATATTTCTAAAATCATCTATTCATCGTCTTAGAAATTATTCTATCTAATCAGAAAATGTCCCACAGTGAACTTCTTGTAAGGCACGGTTTCTAGTAGATCACCGAAGTCAAGCATCACTGGCAGCTATCAGTGAGTAGGCGGTGACCACTTTGCTAAGCCTGTGAAGGGTCTGAGGTTGCTCGGTATCGGACCTTGTTAAATTGTTCTACCTTAAAGTGCTCGACTTCGCACTTAAGTCGTCGATCTACCAAAGTGGGGGAGCCATTATTTCTGCAGAGAATCAAAATTGTGATTGAATGTATTCGGATCATCCTCAGTGCTGTTTCCCAGACCGTCTCCTATAGCCCATTGTAAGACTGTAGTGTGACGTAAATAAAATACTACTACTACTAATCTACATGGAATTTCTTTTTAAAGTATACTTCATACAAAAGGCAGTAGTTAAAATTACAAGGTATCATTTGAGAATGGAAGTTTTTTTATTCTGTTTGTGCAGGTTGTAAATGTTCATGTTAGAAATCACATTCTTTTTAATCTTTAAACATAGATTTTAAGAACTTTGTTTCATTTTGTAAGTTTAGAATTTTCAATAGTTCATGCGATTTAAAGAGAATCTCATGTATAAGAGAAAAACAAGTTTGGATTTTATTTAGTGTAACACAACATCAATTTAAATGAACGCGCGTGCATTTCAGTACTGAATCTAAAACATGTGCAGTGCGCTAAGTAAAAAAAAGGCAACACCTTAATAACTTTTGATCTAATTGTTTGATTATCACGTTTTAAAATGCAATCGCAATTTTTTGAAAGTCAAGTGTCAAATGGGCAAATAAGTGCTTTAAAGAGTTCTTTATAGAGCTCTTTACATCACTGTATACTATAGAACAGTATTTGCAGAACTGTAAAGAGTTCTACAAAAACTGTTTATTTTGAAATTGAAAAATTAAAATCTTGTATGGTAATACAATGAAATATGGTTTTATTACCATGCTGTTTGGTAGTAAATTAGAATACAGTTTGGTATAAATTTTATAATTTTATCATGATACTTTAGAGCATGGCATAGGAACCATTTATTCCAGTGGTTCCTAACCATTTGTTGCACACCACCCAGTTCTAGAATTTGGCTAACATTTATCGCTCCCTTTTTTTTTGATAGAAAAAAACAGACATTGTTGCAAGTGAGCGTCAATAAACTCTAATAAATGCTAATATATACCAGATTTCAATTAAAATTAAAATGTCGGAATTGAAGGAATCGGTTTGAATGGTCGGTTTGAAGGAATTTTATCCAAGTACTTCAGAAAATTAAAATAAAGTGTATCCCTTTCCCTTTTTTTTCTCAAAAAGAGGTGATATTTGAAACGAAATAATTGCAACCAGGGTACATTTTTGTAAATGTACCCTTTTTTAGTACCTGTACATTTTTTAATGTAATCTGGACGTCAGCAACAAAAATGTGAGAAAAAACTGAAAATTTGAAAACTCAATTGTTCATTTCTACCTATTCAATGACTGTCTTGTGCTTGGAAGGATTTCAGTTAAAACTTAAATATCAGGCTTTTTGTTGGTCAGATCTAAGCATAGATTCTAACCAACTTCTTTGTTTTGTGAGAAGCTGAGCAACCGAACTAAATTTTCTTTCTTCTAAATATGTTCACGAAACCCAGGTGAGGAGAAATTCGATGGCTTTTTTAATTATTATTAATAATTTTTTTTCCTTTTGAATACTCCTCACTTCCTGATCGCCCACGTGAGGATTATCACCCCACTTAAGAAAGCAATCACCCCCTTAAAGCAATCGCCTCCAGTTTGGGAACCACTAATTTATTCGGTTGAATTTACTTTTCAGTTTTGTATTGTTGCTCTTTAAAAAGAATTAACAATAGAACTATAAGAAAGAAAACAATCTATTGTTCATAATCCTACAGTAATGCTCATTTTCCAAAGATTTGAAATTCATTATTTTTTTAAAATTTTCCAACTTTTACTGTCAATTTAATGTTATTGCCCTTTAATTACATAATTATCTCAAATAGAGTAACGTAACCTCTGTTGTTACATCATATCTGTTTTTTTTATTCCTGCTACTTGCCATACTGATATTTCGTCAGGTTTCAACTAAAGCCTTTGGTTTTTAAACGTTGCTTTTAATCAATTTCAATGGCAAAAAATGCATTAAATCCATCGAAACATTTATTATAATGATACTAGCGTTTAAAAGAACAAAATAGAGGCCTAATTTTTTGCTAAGCGTACTTCAAAAAAAATTTTTAGTGGCAACTACTTTACAACAAAAGAATGAAAGACTGTTTCTGGTGAACACTTAGGATGTTCTTTT